TAACATAACAATTGATCTGTTCTAAGACAGACATATAGGGCTCCTCACACCTTTGTCTGCAGGGGAGTAGCTGGTGACTAAGTTCAACATGTTTGGAGCTGCCTTTGCTCCCTGGGTGGAGACAAGCCAGGATCAGAGTGATCTAATGAAGCCAGGGCGCATGGACTCCCCGTGCCTTAATTGAAATTTGGCATCAGCTTCCTCTCTCTCTCTCACTGACCTCACTTTGCTTGGGCTTTCTGACGCTTTGGAAACCTCAGTCTGACACATGAAACCAGGACTTGTATCCGAAGGGAGGCATTGTCCAGCCCTAAAGATTATTCTGGGCTGAGAGAATGGAGCATCAGCAAAGATTCCAAATGTAATCATACATAAATGTATTATGCTCCTTATGTTCTGTAGTTGGTTATGCATAGATTTACACTGGCAGTAAATCAAACTTGGGGTGTCCTGGGTATGTCCTTGACTCTAGGTGTAAAACCAAAGTAGGTATCAGTGTATCTAACCCTACACAACCTCAGGGGACCTCACCGGATGTCCATGGAACTCCTCCCAGCTGATACTGGTCATGACCTTATGACCTACAGGACTGCTCAGTCTGTGATAATATAAGGATAGGGTCAGAGCAGCTAACAAGCACTGATAAAATGTGATGAACGCAACACTACTGACCAGCCAATGAAAATTATATTCTGCACCAAGAAAAATAACTTATCTTTATATTTTGAGCATTAGTCAGCTTTAGAAAAATACAGCAAAGACAGTCACAGCAGGGGCATGCATGACTCAAAATACTGTCTGCCTTTTTACAGTCTTCAACCTGTGGCCATCTATTTCCACTTGACCCAGATCGGTGAGTCAGCTTACAAATATGTCCTGTGAAGAACAAAGCCAGCATGTGCAAAGCAACTGTGCAGCCTCAGAGGTCTTGTATTGATTAGACAATTCACTATGATTCGCAGATAATTGTTTTGGGAAAGCGGATGTATAAAACCTTTTAAGAAGCATCTGCCAAAACATTTAGCAGGATATCACAGGGCTACCACAAACAGCCAGACAGGTTAGCCAAAAAACAGCGGCAAGAGAGAAAAAATGACATAAGCCAGTGAAAAATTAGCACAAGCTGCACCATAAATGTCGGGTGTAATTGTGACTGCTATAGTGTTGTGGGGAAGAGAAATTGTCCAGATGACAAACTGGCCGCAGATTGCTGAATGACCTCAGTGCCCGAGAAATTATGGCACTTAAACCAAAAAAAAAACACAACAAGGCCAAACCCAAATCAGAAAGAAATTTGACAATGCAATTTTATTTCTCTACAAGCAATAATAGACAATGAACATGCACCCTGCTTCATGAAGATGTAGTAACCCACATTGTTAAACAAAAAGAGAGTTTGTCACAAGGTTAGAACAGAAGTAATTCTGAGAACTTCAGGCAAGAAACAATTAAGCTTTTTTATTCATACAATCAAGAGAATTTACCCAATGCGTCAACCAAAAACTCAAGAAAAAAGCTTGATTCAATTGCATTTATTCCACTAGATCAAAAGCGCCATTAAGGCTTTCTAATGGATAATATATTTGCACTGTTTCCACAACACAGCCTAATTTGTGTCTGCTAAATCCAGTTATATTTTCCTATACTTTAACAAATTACCCTAATGCTTTTTGAGCATGACAGCAGATTACGCCAAAAGTGCTATACTGTGTATTTGTGTGATTTGGAGAGTTAAGCATCATTCTGGTTTGATTTATTTAAGTAAAGATATACATAAGAGAGCTTAAAGTAAGTCAGTAGTCAAAACAATTGCTTCAATTTAAGAGGTTTAATTTGATAAAACTTTCTCTAATAAAAATCTAAAATTTGGGCAGCTGCCAATTCTTCTAATTAAATATTTTAGTGGTTTTATATTTGGTTTAGTCCTGATATTTTTTGTGGTGAACACCATAAATTACTTTCTTTTGTCAGATAATGGTCAGGTAAAGGTTCTTTTGTCTCTCTTCCTAATGCATATTGGTGCAGTTTGGGACCCACACGGTTCCTGCAACAATTTTAAAGCAGTAAAATCATGTGTGCTGTTACTTTGACCTCGGAGCATCGTGGGCATGGGTTTGGGGTAGGTGCAGGTCTGTGGAGAGTCTATTTTACCCTGACACTGCAGCAGTATAGAGTGGTTTAAAGGTGATTAGACAAATACGCACCACAGTGCAGTGGTCAAATATGCATCACAGTGATAGGTGATATGCAGCTTTTTACACTCAATCAGGGCTCCAGATTTACTTTGGGGACAACCCTATAACCATCGTAAAACCCAGACTAAGCCACCCAAAACAGATTTTCTTCCCTTTCTTGCCTTAGTGCCTTTTCTTTACTAAATCATGATATATCAAGTATGAGTAATAAGCAAAAAATATATAATTTTCTCCCATTTTAAGTTTATTATAATTAGATTATAATTTGTTCATTTTGTAATAAATACATTATTTCCTGAGCTTATTTGATCTGTAGATCACTGGTTAAAAGCATTTAATTTATTTTTTTGACTGCAATTATATTATTGATGATTTTTATTTGTGGATTGGTCTTACATGCTTACATGAGCTGTGTTAGCAGAGCCTCTGTCCTTAGCATGGATAAGAGTTTTAATTAGCAGAAAAGACAGATAATGTTTTGAAAGAAGCAAACTGAGTGAAACTGTGATGGAGAGGGAGGGGGCTGTGTCCACCCCAGATCTTGCTGAATCCAGTAACTGAGCTCACCACCATAAATATGGTGTTGGCATCTGTAAAAAAGTTAACTGAACACAGCCTCAAAGATGAAGGTTACATCCGCTCTGCACTCTTAAATAATGCAGGCTTGGGGACAGGTGTATTTCATGAAGAGCCCTTTTATGTTTCATTGTCAAATGGTTGCAGAGTTAACATTTAATTAGCTAGTGATACATGATAATGGAATTTTGAACCAATACCAATAGCCGATAATTTGAAGATATGAGTCACTGATAATCAGTAAAGTAAAACCAATAATTAGGGCTGGTCGATAGGGAAAAACAAAGAATCAAATTTTTTCCCCCCATATTGATCGCTATCGATTTTCTATATTGATTTTCTTCCAGCTTATTGAAAACAAAGATAGGCTATAAGATAGACATAAATAGCAGAGCATCAGGATCACTACAGTGTAGGTCTACAATGGCCTACTGCAAAGTGACTATAGTGGCTGTATACACAGTACTAGACCTGCATTGATATGTAAAAGGAATGTGAAAAGAGGTGTGAATGGTCCGCATTTATAAATTTATAAATATAATTAATTACCAGAACACACACACATTTACAATACCAGCTATGGGCTAAGCGGTAGTTTACTTATTTTGCTGGCGGACTGGAATGTCATGCAAAAATGCCATGAGGCCTACCTACTGTCTTTAAATACGACAGTAAAGAGGCAAAATAACAGTAAATTTAGCCTAAATAACCCCAATTTAAAATCCAATAGAGTAAAATCTAAGTTTTATAATCAGCTGAAGATTTCCAGTGAATTTTTTTGGCATCTCCAAAGCCCCTTTTATCAGTTTCATATCAGATCCAAAAAATTCCATATTGTTTGTGCCCTAGTCTGATAATTCCAGAGAAACCCACATTTAAAGTTTGGAATTAGTTTGTACAATATAGACAACTCAAAAACATTAAAGGAACACTTTGGAAATGCATCAGATCTCAATGTGAAAAAAAAAGTTATATATCTACACAAATATGGACAGGGCAATGTCTTAGGAACAAAAGGACGCCACTTCTTTCAATGGAAGTGAACAACAGGTGCACTAGAGTGGCAACAATGAGACAGCCCCTAAAATAGGAGTTGTTTTGCATGTGGAGGTCACTTCAAGATTCTCCCTCTTGGTTTGGTCTTTTGGCTGGTTTTCCACTAGTGCTGGCTTTGGCAAGAGTGACCCTACACTGATGCAGTCGGTCCTGGGTTCCTCCTGATGCATGATAATGTCCAGCAAGGGTCTGCAGGAAGCACCTGGAGGATGAAGGGATTGATACAACTGAACAGCCTTCAAGATCACCTGACTTAAACCCAACAGAACACCTCTGGGATATTATGTTAGGGTCTATCAGACGGTGCCAGGTTGCTCTTCAGACTCTGCAGGAGCTCAGTTATGCCCTTACACAGATTTGGGAGGACTGCTCACAAGACAACATCCGTCATCTCATTAGGAGCACGCCACAACGTTGTCAAACATGCAAACGAGCACAAGATATTAAGAAGCATTCTGAGTTGCAGAAATTTACATTTAGCAAAATGGACTGCCACATCATTATTTCACTTTAATTTGAAGTTTGTCTACAAAATAAAGCTCTCTGTAGGCTGACATTTTTATTTCCATTAAAAGTAGAGCATTTTTTTTCATATTGAGATCTGATGTGTTTTCAAAGTGTTGTGAGCCACCTGTATCTCCTTTCCCGTGTTGTGGGGCTGGTACAAAGCTATTTTGCTAAAATATCTTTCCTCCAAACTTAAAAGAAGCCTGTATATGTAAACATGTGTCCTCTGCTCTCTGCTCTGACCCGGGGCTGCTCTGTGTGTGTGGCTGGAGCAGAGAAGTCAGGGCTCAGTGTGGCGTGCCCTATACAGTCTCTGGCACTGAGGGAGAAAACCTTGGTGGAAAAGCAATGTATTTTGGCAATCTGTGAACAATGTTATTATCTGAATTATCATGTGACATCATATTTGCCATTATCGGCCGATAATTATAGGTGACCAATATTATGTATTCCTAAAATTAAGCATTGCTTTTTAACCAATTGGCTATCTTATTTTTGACATAAATGGCTACATAACAAAATTAATAGTAAGCATTGGCCCATTAACTGTAATCAGCAGGTCTGAGTCCCTTTACATCGGCATTAGTATCTACTCTAAAAAAACATTGTATAGTCTAGTCTCAAGCCCTGCTACACTAGTACATGAGCACAGATTGAGTCACTTACGTGGAGTGGGTGGGCTGTTTGCTGGTGGCAGGTCGTGGGGTCTGGCTCCTGGTACTATCACTGGCCTGTCTGTCACTGGGCCGTCTCTGTGGTTGGTCCCTGTGAAAAGGATTGGTCCCAGGTTGCACTCTTCTCAAGGCCCCTCTGTCGCGGATGTACACCTGCTCCGGGGCCACCTCTTCACAGCGGGGCCCCTGGAAGCCTGAGCGACACACACAGGTATGAGGCCGGCTGCAGGAGCCACGGTTCTGGCAGGGGGGCTGACAGTCAGCTGCAACAAGAGCACACATGGAGATCCAGTTTACAGCAGGTCACAGAGAAGCATGGACCCTCTGTGAGGCAGCAGGTAGCACAAATGGATTTGCCTGATTTCAACACAAGCTGATTTTTCAACTTATTCAATCATTGGATCATTTGTTTCATTTGTCATGCTTTTTGCCCATTTCATGCAACAGAGTGCCTGAAGGAGCTCTCAGATTGAATTTCTATTGAGTCTTTAAGAGAAGAGTTTAGACTACATGTAGATGTTCACCCATAGTAAACCCTGATCCAGTTACTCTGTTAAGTTAGGCTCATAACACAGGAACTTATAGCCTTGTGCTCTTTGTGATCACCTAGAAATACCTTGTGTCACCACTCTAGAATGCAGCACGATCAGCACACAAAGTAATAAAGGAAATAGTCATAAAAAGAGTGCATGGGAAAAACTGTAAAGGGAATGCCAGCTGAGAATACCTGACAGTATATCAGAGAGACTTTTAGGAGCTGTAACTTTATTTGAAAAAGAAAACTATCTGAAAGAGCTTACTGTATTTGAAAGATAGATGTATGCATAATATTTATCATAGTCTACAAACACACCGATCTGAGGTCATGTTGTGGTCATGGAAAAATAATCGTTGTCATTAGCAGCCAGGCCCCTCCATGCTCCCATCACTGCCCGGATAGTTTTAGTACTTAAAGACTTGTGGCACGCAATTGAAAGCAAACAAACCTTCAATCTTATGACAAACCTGTATGTGGTGTACGGCATGGGCGATTTATGGCACTGTCCATCCACAGTAAATCAGGCCAGCGTGCTTTGGTGGCTAAAGCAAACACTGGCCTTCAGTCAACAGCCGAGGAATGCTATTGACACAGATGCCGCGGACACTGACAGATTGGGAGCACCATCTCAACACCACAGCACTTACAGGGGCCAAGCATGTTCTAATAGGGCCCTACCTGTAGCACACTTCCTGTAACTGTCAGACCAAGGGCCACCGCCGTGTAGCTTTCTGACATGCCTGGACCACATGTGCTGTTCATGCAGTGACATGAACCCCCCCAGCTAGCGCATGTAATGAAAGACAATGTGACATTAAGTTGGAGTCAGACCACTGACATTTTATTTAGCAATTCCAATTTAAGCTCCATTCATTATAGCTGTGGCATTTAGCAGACTGTGGTATGAAATAATTAACAAAACCTGAATTATATAAACCAGATGATCATTTTACTGCTAAAGCTTAAATTAGAAACTGTGTTTCAATTTAAATAACCACTTTTTGATGAAGTACACACATTTGAAGAAAAGCGGCTGTACGTTTAAACTTTGGTATGAGATCTGGATTTTCCACCATGGCTTAAAATAGGGATTGAGGTCTGTTTGGCTAAAATATAAATACATCATGGTGCAGAAGTACTGGTTGGCCCTGTGCCACTGCCATGTCCCAGATCTGCTCAAACTCAAGTGATGAAGCTGTGAATCACCCAGGCCAAAGACTCAAGTGACATGATGCTGTGCGTTCAAATGTGAAAAAGTATTCTTTAAATACACCAATAGAAATGGAATAAGAAAAATAGTACTAAGCAGAATAATAACCCAATAAATGTGAGGTTACGTTTAGATTAAACTGCTCTGGTCAGTTCTTAGTTACAATCCTGCACTGTACCAACGGAAGATTATTTATTTATTTATTCAAGGCATGGGTGATGAGTGCTGATCAGAGTTGTCCATGGGAAGTCTTTTTACTTTTACACTCCTGCGCTCTACAACTGTGACTAACGGACTAAAGTGGTCAGCACATTTGCAGTTAAAAATATTCATTCGCTGATCTCAAAAATCCCATCAATTCTCAGAAGAATAGCTAAAAGTGTTACTTTTCACCCCTATTTCACACTGCTTACTGTCCTGTCTAATAAAGCATATGGACCGTAAAAAATCAAAAACAAAACACTGGCCTTTACTGGTGCTAATGCCAGACAAGCATGTGTGCTGTGCTGACAATAGCAGGGCCAGTTGGGTGGCTCAGGGCCTACTCACGTCTGTGGCACAGACTGCTGCTGAACACATTGTCACAGTAATTGCTGTCGTGCAGATTTGTCTTACACTGCAGATCATTAAAACTAATTGCCACACATTCCATTCATTTCATGTGCAGTAATTATTACTTTGCAGGAGTAATAATAAAATAATAAAAATCTGTCAGAAATAAAACTATTTGAAATGGCAAACATTCCTGGCATTACAATTTCAGGCTCAATTATGGCTGAGAAGCATGGGCCACCTTTCAGCAGATGACTGTGTTCAGATCCACTCATCTGAAATAAAGTAGACTGGGAAACTGCTGCTCCAGCTCCAAAGAAACCAAGCACAACACTAGATTCATGATAGAAGAGCAAGCTGAGGACTTAGGGAAGGTTTCATTCTTAACTTTAAAACAGTAACAGTATGCAGGATTTGTATTCATCTATTTAAAATTCTTCCCATTGCACTCTGTGGCCTTATGTCTAAATAATGTAAGATTAACTTTTATATTTGCTAGCAATAATATTGCACAATGTAGATATTTAATCTGCTTAATTGGTTTGCGTCTACCCGTGTCCTACAATAGCTAGTGACTTTTAGGGATATAACCAGAGACTGGCTAGGCTTACACTGCAGTTTCGACACAAAGCAAGATAATGCCATTAAACCAATTTTTAAACAAACAGTATCATTAAAAACAAAACCTGAGCTGTAAAAAATATACACCAGAGTGAGCCCATAATTAGTCATAGAAGCTATTTATTCTAGTCTCTACATCTTAAATCTTACGTTATTACATGAAAACGCCAAAGATCTCCCCACTATTGTAAAGAAAAAGTACCCACGATAAATACTGAGCCCCAAAATATATTGTTCCAGCTATCATGTACTGAACGATAAGTGGATATAGTAGTTATCAAGATATACCTAAATATGGGGGAATAAAATTGATTCATTTTTCACATATCGCCCAGCCCTATGTTCTACTCTGTGAGCAGGTTGACCATATCTATCCCTCGAACAGTGTGCACCCCCATCATGAGCTTGAGCTCTTCTAATTTGCGATTCAATCACACAATATTCCATCACACAGTAAACATTTTCAAATCTTTCATGTAAAACAGTATTTGCTCTGCTTTAGGTTAAAAAACTACATTGGTCAAGGGCAAGTAATCCATTTGGTTAAACAACATCTTGCATTAAACTGCAGTGATATTAGCAGTCAGTTTGAATCCAGAGATCATGGGACTTCCCCTCAGTCTGACCCACAGTAACACAAGCCATCACATTTTTACAGTCTCCTCATTCAACACTGCGCAATCTGAAACCACAACCAGGAACCTCCTCACTTCCCAGGGGTCAATAGTGCACACTGGGGCTCAACGGGCAATTTCTAGAAAGTAATATTGATAATGAGCAGATAATAATCAGAGAAGAAATCTCTATTCACTGTGAACATTATGGGCCATTATGAGATTTACAGACTGGAAGCCACGCAGATGAGGAGACTATGACAAACGCTCTGAGTAAAGGAGCTGTTCTAAACTGGAAATACAGAGAGAAAAGACACTGAATGAGAAAGAGAAATAATGCTATAGCTCACATTGGTGAAAGTCTAAGAATATTATTGTACAAAGTGCTAGAGAACAAGGTGGATTACAAAAAATATCGGTCAAGATTTGCTCAAAATGCTATACTACTATCAATTAGCTGAATAATAAACAAACATAAAACAGCAAAAAACAAAAGGGAATACTGAGCTACATAGCAGGACATAGCAAGAGATGATCTCAGTCGTCTCAGTCTGTATTATTGGCCAGTGTAAATAGATATAATAGAACTATAACATTCAATACAATGAACAATGAAATTAAATGACATGACTGAGTGTTTCAGCTATATCATGAAATAATTGTATAATTTTATATTTTCTTAACTGGCCAGATCAGCTGATAATATTGACAGGCCAATATTGGTTTGTCTAGCACCAAGTACATGCAGTAATCCTACACAATCAGTGCATATCAAAGTCCAGTCATATGCCAATGCGCACTTCTTCCAGCACAAGCCGGCCTCTCCACGTTATATGAGACTTCTCCACTCATACTGCTCACAAAACATTTGAATTTCATGCATGTGGTCTACATTGGTCAACTCGCTTCTCTGATGCCCAATTTCCCAGAAAGAATGACTAAGGCTGGGTGAATAGTGGCACGAAAAATAATTGCTTACAAGCAATACCATTCATGCCCCTAACACAGAGAAATTCCAATTTAGCTTAATACGGGGCTAAAAATTCTCTGTTCAGCAGGCTTTTCACTGGCTAGGCTAGTACTGTATTAATACTAGAGCTGCTGGACAATATGATTTTAGATTGAATTTTATTTTGTCTCATCAAAAAGAAATAAAAATGGCATTTTATACTAATTTCTTGAACATTAAACAGAAAGACTTGAACTCAGTGCCAACACAAAAACAGACAGATGTATTCCAAAGTGTAAAGTCTGCTCCAAACTGCATTCTTTCACTGACGATTGGCTGTAAGGCTCACAAATAAAGAAAAAAGTTCCATCACTGACAATTGGAAATGACAATGATCGCGATTAAAATTCCATAAATTGCACAGCCCTAATTAAAAGGGTCTAAAGAAATACAATCAAATACAGAAGTTATGATTTACTGGGCGTCTGGAGAACATCCTGTGAAGTCTGGCTCTGGCTCATACTAAAGATTTATAATCCTGACATATTTTAAAAGTGTTAAAGATAAGACCTCACACATGATAATAAACAAATGCTTTTCCTTCTGTATGCGGCACACACCATTGATATAATACAAGTACCACACATGTCGGTTGTGTATAATAGGATTTAATTCAAAACTTGCCTCATCGCTGATATCAGGCTCATCTAAAACTGGAAACAGCTGCTGCACATTTCACATTTTTGTATATATTTTTTATTCACATCATCAGAGCAACA